TCCCGTGGTTTACATTCTGCTCTGAAAACAGAATCAGAAACAGCATGCACCAACTGATTTCCATGGCAACCAGTATTTGTGTACTTTGAAAAATGACTGTTCCTTTTTGTGTGGTAGATTTACGCGGGACTGAATTCTAGAGGTGACGTTAGCCATCTGTGTGAATATAAACAAAAAACCTGATTTCATTTAGGGTAAACTTTAAGAGGACATAACATTGGAAGTGTAGGATGTTTGCTTTCCAATGGAGATAATGCTCTGCTTTCTTAAATTTATTGATTTATTTGACATTGCATTTTAGCATTTTCATCAGCGGCTATTTGAGATTTATTTCAATGCATCAGACCCTCCACTCGGAAGCAAAAAGAAACTAATTATCATTCTTCAGGGCTCACGTCAAGCACTTCCCCCCTACCCCACCCTTCGCCGCCCCATCCCTTTCACACTGTTAGTTAAGATTGCTGGTGACTGGGACTGAGGGACTTGAGTTCTATGAAATATTCCTATCTGGAAGGAAGGGGGAAAAATCCCTGATTCCTATGAAAATGTCTCAGCCTTGTTCAGCTTGAAGTCAAAAGTACTATTGTTGACTCTTTTGTTGTACTCTGAAATTTAATTCCTCAAACGTTGATACTTGTTATTTTTTCCAAAAAGCATAGGGAGATAATGATTATAGAGAAATTTTAATTTCTGTTTATTGGATACATTCAAAATAATTAAAGCTTTTGTCATTACACTACAAACCAAAGTTAGGAATAAGCCTTTAATGGGGTGGAAGAAGACAACGGAGCATTTGTTTGTTTGTTGCCATAGCTTTGCTTGTATTAACTCATTTTGAACAGAAATCCCTGCCTGGGTGGTTGCAAATGCTTAATGAACTCAACTAGTAGTAACTGAAAGGTTAGAGGTCTGAGTATGCCTAGAGGTGTCTCATAAGAATGGTCAGATATTTCCTTCTATTAAATCAGCCACTGAAAACCCCTGGAGCACAGTTCCGTTCTGACATATACGGCATCCGCATGAGGTAGAACTGACTCAACGGCAATTTGGTTTCTTTTCTTTTCTTTTTGGTCATGAACTGGAATCCCTAAACTAGAGTACTAGAATTAATAAAAACTCTAAACCTGAGGTAACTATCCCATCAATACTAAAACCTGTTTCCTTTAAGTTGATTCTGAAACATAGTGGCCCTCCATCAGACAGAGTAGAACTACCTCATGTGGTTTTCAAGGCTGTGAAGCTTTACAGAAACAGACTGACACATCTTTTAAGCCCCACATGAGTTTGAACTGCAAATATTTTGTTTAGCAACAGAGCTCCGTTAACCAGTTTGCGACCAGGAACCCAAACAACAACAACAACAAAAACTGCACTGCTTAGAGTCAATTCTGACTCATAGTGACCCTCTATAGGGTTTCAAGACTAAATCTTTACAGGAGCAGACAGCCTCATCTGTCTCCTGAAGAGCATCAGGTGGGTTTTGAACTGGCATCCTTGTGGTTAGCAACTCAGTGCTTATCCCACAGCACAACAAGGACTCCTTTTAAATTCCCTACAGTGGTCCAATAATTTAGGAGTCCACAAATTGTAACACTGACCACCTGATTCTACCTTCACTCTCACCGTTAGATGGTGGGAGAGAGATCTGAGGCTAAGGGAGTCTTGGCTTTTACTATTCCTTCTTTGTGTTATGTTGCTTCATTCTCTCATTCATGCCCTCATTATAACTTTTGTCAACTACCCAGAATGTTAAACGCTTGTTAACAACCATTCACAGTCAAAGCCGTAGCTTTAGAAAATATTAAAAGGAAGCTGAAATGATAATCATGAAAAAAAAATTCATCTTTATTCATTTGTTTAAAATACTTTAGTTTAGTCCTAAAGGATAAGTAATATAATGCTTTTCTGAGCTGCTTCCTTTAATTCTCTGTGGATCTTCTCCCAAATCTCATAAGAACAGTCATTTATGGGAACTCAGTGAGATAGGCCAAGACTTAGAAATACAGATTTATTATGAGTACTTCTCCTGACTACTAACTACAGGGTCTGCAGTTTAAACCCACCAGCTGCTCCTCAGAAAACCTTGTGGTAGCTAAGAGTAGGAAACTTTCACAATGACCTTGAACGACCCCCCCCACCCCACCCCTCCCACCCCCAACACACACACCCAACACATACACTTCCTCCTTTAGCAGAATGGCTAAATAGTATCCAGACTCTTTACTGACTAAAAGGAGTGTTGAACTTTAGCAATGTAGGACTCTACTATCAATCTAACTATAGAATTCAAATAGTGTTAAGTGCCATCGAGTTGGTTCCAACTCATAGTGACCCTGTATAGGGTTTCCAAGGAGCAGCTGGTGAGTTTGAACTGCTTACCTTCCAGTTCAAACTGACCTTGTGGTTCAGTGCTTATCCTACATTGCCATACCAGGACTCCAAAATAAATACAGGTGTGGCAAAATCATTGTATTCATTCCTTGACTGTACATTAAGAACCTTCTCTGCTTCAAGCCTTGCATTCAACATCCTGATCACTTAAGAGATACAGACATGCATAGTTATAAATAGAATTCAGAGATGTGTGATCATTTCCACAGAAGAAGTGCAAATAAAAAGCTAAGGGATTTCAAGGGAAAACTAATTCATGCCTGGCTATTGGAATCAGGGACATGTTAATTTTACTTTGTAGAATTTGATTATAGAGTTTTATATACTTATAAATATGCTTCTAACTATTTTGTGTCATATGTTTTAATAAACAAAAATAATTTGTTAAGTTTGTAGTTTTTTAAAACCATATTATACTTTATCCATAATAGATAAATACAAGTACTTAATCACAGACAGACTTTGAAGAAGCACTCTATAAGGCAGTAATCAAGGCTTTGTTGTTGTTTGTGGGCTCTTTTTTCTTTGTTGTTAGTTTGGAGATAGGTATCTGATGAAATTTAAATGTATGTATATCTGTATCTGTTGAAATAGGGTAGATGAAGAGTACACAATTGATTATAATCTCTATCGATAATTATGAAAGAACTCAGTAGGAACATTCCAAAAATACAAATATAAATGCCCAGTTGTTGTTGTTAAGTGCCATCAAGTCAGTTCTGACCCATAGCGACCCTGTATAGAGTTTCTGAGGAGCAGCTGTTGAGCTTGAACTGCCGACCTTGCAGGTCAAACAGCTTTGCAGTCTGGTGCTTTAACCCATAGCGGCACACCAGGACTCCAGATGCCCTGTTGGGTGGTTGGTTATGTGCCATGGAGTCGGTTCTGACTCATAGCAACCCTCCTGTACAGGGTCTCTGAGGCTGTAAATCTTTACAGGAGCAGAAAGCTCATCTTTCTCCCGCAGAACAGCTTGTAGTTTCGAACTGTTGACCTTGCAGTTCGCAGCCCGGTTCGTAACCACTACACTACCAATGCCCAGTAAGCATACTAAAAACAAAACAAAACAAACAAACCTTCATCGGCAAAGTAAGCAATAAAATGCAAATAAAGACAAGTGTACAAAAAAAAAGAAAAGATTTTCACTCTGAAATAAGACCCCAATTTTTTTAACAGCAGTCATTGTTATCAAGGGTCCACTCAAAGAAACAGTTCTGTAAACTGGCTAATGAGAGTATACGCTGTTATAAACATTTTAGTAAGAAATTTGAAAATGTCCATCAAGGGTCATAAATAATTACACTATTTGATTCATTCTCTTTTTAGGAATTTTCACTAAGGCGGGCGGTGGGGGTGGGGAATCAAGCAAATGTTTATATGGACAAAATTTGTTAATATCTCAAATAACTAGCAAAAAAATTATGAATGTCAATTGAGTGTATCAAGGCATTAATGTCACCGTTAAAAATTATGCTTACACAGGTTTTCGATGGCATGTTCAGTGACATTGAATATCTAGTCCAAGTTTGTACACACATGCACACGTATACCTGCACACACTGCTGTGGCATGATGGGTTAATGATCTGGACTGCAAAGTCAGTTTGAAGTACAAAGTCAGCAGTTCCATTTACCCACTGTTCCTCAGAAACCCTGTACAGGGTAGCTATTGGTTGGACCGACTTGAAGGCACTTAACAGCAACAACATATATGGGCTTCAGAAAGTTTGTGGGGCAATGAAATGAAAAGATCATGGATTTCCCCCCCAATTTTTCAAGCCCCCTCTGTGTGTGTGTGTGTGTGTGTGTGTGCATTCATATACTTATATGTAATGAAAATACTGGCAAGAAAACATGGTATTTTTTTGTATTAGCAAAATTATAACAGTGGCTTTCTTCAGTGGTATTAACCTTCATCTTTTCCTTTTTGTAGTTTCCTAAATTTCTTTAATTTTTTAACAGTTAATAAGTATTTATATCTGACTATGGTAACAGCTGTTACTTAGTGAGTGTCTCTTCTGCATCAGGAATTTTTGCATAACTCTGCCTGTATGGCATCACTAATGCATGCAGCCATCCAGTAGGATAGTCGCATTCCCCATCAAGCATACCAAGACTTAGAGAAATGAAGGAGTCTATTTGGGACACACTGAGAGCCGCAAGGTCAGCAGTTTGAAACTACCAGCTGTTCCGTGGGAGAAAGATGAGGCTTTCTGCTCCCGTAAAGATTTACAGCCTGTACAGGGTCACTATGAGTCAGAACTGACTCCAAGGCACATAACAACAACAATATTCAGGACACACTAAGATGTGAAGGTGGCCCATTTGGACCACCGTTTCCCTACTCTATGCCTGTATTATTCTTGGGAGGAGACATACTAAATGGGCATAAAACAAAACAACTGAGAGTTAGAATTCCAAATTTATTAGGTTTAGGATCAGATTCATCTCTAGAATGCTGTATAATTATCTGTATTTAATGTTAATCCTCCTGTACCAACCTATCTCAGCAGATTTACTCCTAACTTTTGCTGTGTAGGTAGACTGTCTTTGTTCCATCTGACAAACTGTGGAAGTTTTTTGCATTGGGAAGTTTCTTTTTTGTTTCAGCTCTATGACGGATCACAGAGGATGGGACGCTACTGTGGAACAGATATTCCCCCTCCGGGGAGTACCACAGGCTCCAAGCTTCATGTGCTATTCTACACTGATGGGGTTGGTAACCACGAGAAAGGATTTCAGATGCATTGGTTCATTCATGGTAAGCCCCGTACCCATCTCAGTTGTATTTAGCAGTTGCTATCTGACAAACACCAATCCCTTACTTGGAAACAATACAATCAACAAATAATGGAAATAGAGTATAAGCTTAAGAAAGCTTACTTAGACAATTAAGTGCTTAATTGTCTAGTTGGTATACTTAGCGAATTAAATCCTATTAGGGTTAAGAATAAAGAATACAATAGGATAATTGATGCAGTTGAGGCACAGTGTTGGAGGAGAATATTAAAAGTACCATGTGGGAGTGGTGGTGGTTATATACTGTGGAGTAGTCAGTTCCAACTCATAGTGAACCTGTGTAGGATTTCCAAGGCTGTAAAGCTTTACAGGAGCAGAATGTCTCATGTTTCTCCAGCATAAGAGCTGATAGTTTCAAAATGCTGTCCTTGAGGTTAGCAGCTTGAGCTGTAACCACTACACTACCATGGACTGTCAAAAGAACAAACAAATCTGTGTTGAAAGAAGTACAACCAGAATGTTCCTTGGGCACCAGCATGGCCAGACTTCATCTCTCATACTTTGGACATATTATCAGGAGAGACCAATCTATGGAGATGGACATTATGCTTGGTAAAGTGGAGGGTCAGAGAAAAAGAGGAAGACCCCCAACAAGATGGACTGGCACAGTGGCAGCAGCAATGAGCTCAAACATGTGAAAATTGTGACGTTGGCCCAGAACCAGGCACTGTTTCATTCTGTTGTGCATAGAGTTGCTATGAGTTTGTACCAACTCGATGATGTCTAACAACAACAACAACAGGGTTAAAAGAGGAGTCCTGGTGTGGCAATGTGGGATTAACACTGGACTGTTAACCACAAGGTTGGTAGTTCAAACCCACCAGTCACTCCTTGAAAACCCTATTCAGGGTCACTATGAGTCAGACCTGATTTGACAATACTTAACAACAACATCAACAGAGTTAAGAGAGAACCCTAGTGTGGTATTATAGGAAAAGCACTGGGCTGCTAACCTCAAGGCTGGCAGTTCAAACATACCAGCCACTTTCCAAAGCCTTATACAGGGCCTCTATGAGTCAGAACCATCTCAACAGCACACAGCAACAACAACAACAACAAGTTTAAGAGAGGAAGTGAAATAAAAAGGATCAGGATATGGATAACTGGCTAAGTAGTTACAACTGGAAACTGCCTAAGCAAAAGTAGGGAGCAGAATGAAATTTCTAGGGAGAACATCTGTACCTGCTTATGGCAAGCAAGTTTGCAAGGTGAGATGGGAGTTTCTTGGAATAGCATGAGAATTCAGACTGATATTAAACATAGAAAGAAGAGCAGAGATGGAAAGAGAAATAATATGAGTCCATCAGAGAAAGAGAAGGAGAGAGGAAGGACAGGGTTGAGGGGAGAAAGAGCAGAGAATACAAACTTGTGCCTACCAAACAGAGGAGAACCTCAGAGCCCTACAAACTGGTGGTTCAGGAAACAGGTAGAGAAAATCATTCTGCTGACGAAGAAAAGTCATTTTTAACAAGAGGTGTGAGACTTCTGTACTTGGCCTCATATGAACCAATCTAGGAGACAAGGGCCCCAGAGCAGTGGTCCTGAAACTTGGTCCCCAAACTGCAGCCTCAGTATCGCCTTGGAGCTTTGTTAGAAGTACAAATACTTGGTCAGCATCCCAGGCCCAGATGTACAGAATCAGCAACTCAGATGGGAGGGCCAACAATGTGTGTTTTAACTGACTTTCTCATGTAACTCTTCCAAGTCTGAGGACCACTGTCTTAGAGGTATCCAATCCTGACCAATGTAGTCCTTATGGATAGCTTAACAGCAACCATCAACCACGATGTTGGGGCCCATGATACCTTTCCATCATTTGAAAAATAAGTGAAGTTGCAAATTTAGCCAGGAATTATACACAGATACCTAAGCTGTGGTCATGCTATCAAAGTCCAGGGTGATCCCTCAGAAATGTATGTCATGGATGAAAAACTCTTAAGTATTATTAACATTATTATTAACATTATAGTGAATAACTCATTATATGAATGGTTGCTGTTGTTGTTAAGTGCTGTTGAGTCAGTTCGGACCCAGAGCAACCCTGTATAGGGTTTCCAAGCAGCTGCTGGTGAGCTTGAACCACCAACCTTATGAATCAAAGCGACTTTGCAGTCCAGTTCATTAACCCACAGCGCCACACCAGAATTCCATATGAATGGTAAAGCTGAATATAACTGAAAAGCTCTATTTTACTTGCTCAGTTAAATGTTAGATGTCCTATGGTGAAATCTATGGTAAATCATGAAAAATATATCTCTTCATAAAATGATCATAAGTTGGGAACTTAATGTATTTCTGTTAGAGTCTAAATATGAATTTTCAGTATTTGAAAATGGTCACTGGTAACCCACAGAGCTACTTAAAACTTGTAGTACAGATTTTTGAATCCCCAAAGTAAAAGAACTATGAAAATTAAGCTTGGGAGCTTCTGATTTATCAGAGGGGAATATTTAAGCTTAGAATGATCGATTTATTGGTTTGTTAAATGAAGGGACATAACTGACTCATCCCGACAGTCCACTCCATTTCTTTTATTCTGGGATTCGGAAACAGCGTGATCCTAAGGAAAATAGAGACAGTATGAAAAGACGCAGAAGGTACCAGAAAATCCTGGGAAATGATTCAGATATTAAGGGCTTTTCTCCAGAGTAATATTTTTCAGACTTTAGTGCACATATATATCAAATGGAGATCTTGTGAAAATGCAAATTCTAATTCAGTAGACCTTGAATTGTTGCTGCTAACCTCAAGGTTGGCCGTTCAGTACCTTCAAGTCAGTTCTGACTCATATTGATACTGTGTGGGGCTCCCAAGGAGTGACTGGTGAGTTCAAACCACCAAATTTGATGTTAGCAGTCCAGTAATTATCCTACAGAGCAACACCAGGACTCCAGACCTGGGGTGTTGTTGTTGTTATATATGTTGTTATATATTTATATATAACATGTATGTTATATATGCTGTTGTTATATATGACCCTATATAGCTGGTGAGTTTGAACTGCTGACCTTGCAATTCAAACTGACCTTCCTGTGCTGATATTACAGCGCCTCACTAGGACTCTACCGACAGACTGTATACAACTAAATCCTCTGATGAAAGCTCTGAGTTTTTGTTGGGAACATTTTTATCCTACCAGTTCCATTTGGAATCTATCTTTTTCTAGGGGAGTCAAAGACATTCTCTGTTTATTCTCTTTTCCTGTTTACTATTTCAAAAAATTTCTCCCAATTGCTGAAAGCTTGCTAAGCTTAGAGCCAGAGTTGTGCAACAATTTTACCAGTTTGGGCCAAAGCTGAAAAGTTTAAAACTGGCTGCCATCCACTATATAGAAATTATAGTGGAAAGAACCTTCTAGAATGGGATTTTTGGTGATTTAGATTTCTACAAAATTAATCAGCTCTCATAAAACTGTCATTCAATGCTATAGCCAAATACAGTGTATATTCTGCATCTGAACAATGCCCATACAAGAAGAGGGCACCAATCGAGAAGACAGGAAGCAGGAAAAAAAATCTTCAATGGGATGAATCTCCCTGTCTTTTATTACCCTTTGGAGATAAACTGTAGACATAAGTCAGGAGTTATTCATTCATTTTTTTCTTTCCACAGATAGTAAGGATCTATGTTGTGTCAGATACTTTGCTTGGACAGCAACAGAGGACTGACTCACATCTACCATGTTTCCTATTCTCATGGGGCTCCCAACTAGTGAGGGCACTCAACACCAGACAGAATGTCACATCAATAAAATAAAAACTGTGACCAGTGCTACAAAATGAGATGTGTTATGACATGGGTACAGACGATCTGGAATTTGGCCATGTCAGGAGGTCAGGGCAGTCTTCTATGAGAAAGGAATATTTGAACGAAGAACTAAAACTAAGCAGGAGTTGACTAGGCAGGTGAAAGAAGAAAGAGGACTTGAGACAGAGGAAAAGCCTTGTGGTTAGAGGAAACCGGGCAAGTGTGAGCAAACCAAGAAGTCCAGAGCAGGGGGCAACACTCGAGGAGGCTGGAGAGGTAAGCAGAGGCCAGACCATATGGATAATAAATAGGGTCTGAGAAAAGAGTAGGGCCCACACCTTGTTTTTTCCTTGAGATTTGTCATATTGCAAATAAGTGAGTTTTGAATAAGACCTTGAAGGACTGGGAGCAGCTTAGCAAGTTGTAGAACCTGAACACTTTATTCTCAAAAATTGCTCTCAATTGTGAAGTAATAGTTAACAATATTTCTGAATGTATGTCTGAATGGTGTGTGTGTGTGTGTGTGCACGCAGATGTGCGTGTGTGTTTGTGTGTGTGCTTGTAATATTAAGAAAAAATATTCAAAATATTGTCTCTATAGAGTACCCCTATTCCTCCTCAGAATCAAGTGGAAGACTCTAGCTCATTGCCCTTGTAGGTGCTCTTGTTCACCCAGTTAGAAGGGGTGACTTTAGACTCCTACCCTCATTTCATCAGAAACAAAGCACATTTTAGGCCCCTTTTCCTTCCTACTCTTTCCAAACTGTGTAATAATAAAAGCTCATAAAATATGCTGAGAGTTCACAAAACTGGAGTGACATCATTTCCTGAGCATTTCTGCTGAAGAAGGAAGAATCTCCATACATTTCATTCAGTAAGCCAATTAATAAATAAATCCACTTACAGAAAGCACTTCTTTATCGACCCTACAAAAATCTTCTATTTGCTTTGAGAAAACGAATCGACAGACTGGCCGTTATCTGTTGGCCCATTTTTAAAGTGGTGCCCTGGTGAAGTGAGATTAAACCACATCACCATGCCTTTATGTAAATCATCAAAGAGAGTCTCGCTCTGAAAATAATGAAATGGCCACAGTTGCCCGATCTGACTAATCAGTTCACAGTATTCAGCATTGACAGTATTGTCCAGAAACTGAATATCCTTCCTTCCTTGCAAGGCTCCGTCTGGGTTGTGGAAGGGAATGTAGAACTTTCT